TTGCTCCAAGTCGCAAAATGCATCTCTGCAATTTTTATTGCAAAAGTCAGTTTTTTTTGTATGTAAAAACTCGAACATTTCAAATTTTTGTGATAGGTGATACCTTCTTTTTCAACATGACTTACATCATTTTGCAGAGCTCATCGAGTTCTATTTGAATCAGGTTGTTTCTAGTTTGGACCAATTTTGGAAGCGAACCCTAAAATATTTTATCCCCAAAACCCAAGAATAAAATCAGTTCATGTGAAAATCTCTAAACTTTTTGCTAGTGGACCTATCAAATAATTTTGATACTCTAACGCAGGTTAGCAGACGTTAATAGAATTTTGTTCGAGAAAATTGCGTTTGAACGCGTTAAATTTTCAAATATAATGCGTGCTAACTTTTATCGAAGTGATAACGGGAAAGATCCGGTGAAATATGGTTCTTAGAAATTTAACGAGTTTCCGCGCATTCAAGTTTTCCAAAAATCGATGATATACAGTATAAACGCGTTTAAAACTAAAGAATACACATACATTCCTGATAAAAGTTTATCTTTTCGCGTTTAAACGGGTTAGAATAGATTTCAACCAAATAAAACTCGTTGAACGATGACTCATCAATCGTGCATAACCGTTCAAATGCGTTAGAAAGGTAATTTTCCAGTCACTGTTTTGTTTTGCATGACCAACTCATACATAAATACCATGTCTTTCACTACGAGATATACGATACATTCACTTAGAAAGTTTTGCTCTTACTATATATATATATATGTGTACTCTCTAAAAAAAAAGGTACTCCATCGAACCTAAAAAGGGTTTAAACTTTTGTCACCATCTATATACCTTTTTAAAGTTTCGTACAAACTATATACCGTTTACTTAGCTAAATCCGTGACTGGAAAAAGCTTAAGAACACCGAGAAAACACTTTTTTTGTGTTTTTACACAAATTTTTTCCAGTGACGAATTTAAGGTGCTGTACCAAACCTTAAAAGGTTTCATAGTTTGTATGAAACCTTAAAGGTATATAGATGGTGACGAAGGTTTAAACCCTTTTTAGATTCGGTACAGCACCTTTTTTTTTAGAGAGTAAGAGACTGATCTACCATAATGATGGTGATGAACAGCATCGAGTAGATCATAGTTAGGTGAATCTTGGGATCCTTCAACAGAACCTGACTGAAAATGATAAACGCACTATACGCGTTAAAGTTACATTTTGATCCGACGTATTATTCCAACGAGTGTAAACGCATCCAAGAAGCTAAGTTGTTCAATTTTTAACGCGGTAGAACGATTCAGGATTAAGTGGAGACGTTATCACGCACTATAAATTCTTACTCGTTAGAATCACCGAATATGAAACATTTAACGTGATTCTAACGCGTTAGGGTTATAAAATTTTCGTGATGAACGAGTTTGGACGCCGTTTTCATATTTCTTTTATGACACCGCATTTGACTGCATTTAGAATTCATTTCCAGCCCTACATAAGATTGCAAAATAACGCATTTGCACGCATTCAACAGTATTTAGCTAGTGTGCATGCATTAAATTTTTCTTTTATTTAACGTCCACTAACGCGCGTTAGAGTATCAAAATTATTTCATGGAGAAGATCGTTAGAGTGACATCATTTGATAAAGCTCGTTGCTGTGCTTGAGAAAAAGCTAGTCTCGGTCTTGGACCAAGCGAAGAAATGAATCCGAAATACTTTTGTTCCCAAACACGACAAGGAAAAGTGGTCTTTGAAACACTTTCTGATGTTTTTGACGAGATGAAGACTAACAAAGTAAATGAATTGTACTCAGAGTATTTTCATTGCTTCATCTCTTTCGCTTAGAGCAAGTCTCAACTATCATACACCGTACGATAGAGAATTTCACGGACTACAAAGTGCTATATAAAATGCGACTGAGTAGTCTGATATCAAAAATACTCGGTAGCGCATCTCAGCAAACCGGTAGGTCAACATCGTTCATCTTTTATAATAACCATTTATTTTCTCATTAATCACTCCAGTTCATATATCGTACGAAAACTTTTTTGAATATAAGTATGAGCCATTGAGTACGAAGTCTCGAGCATGAGTATGAATCAGGTATCAAAAATTACGCGTAATCAAACGATCATGATCCTAGTTTCAGCTGAAGCAAACATTTTCTTTTCATGCGTTTATGTGTCGGCTGATGTCTCTTCCCAGTTATGTGTTCTAAAAATTGTCTCAAATGTCATCTACGTTGTCGATTTATGTTCATTCAACAAAGTAAATTGTTTAATAGACTTTTCCTTAGCAAAACGGTATTCTAATAAATGGAAAAATAATAAAAACTAGTGTGGAATAATTCGCAAAGCTCTTACAAAATTTAGAATTTTTATTCTTTAGCTCTCCTACATAAATTTATAATAGGATCTCCGAAGAACTTATTATATGCACTTATAATTGAAAACAAATTATAGTTCATAGAAAATCTATTTAACTCTTTGGTTACGGGGCACGTATATATATGTTTTGAGCTTTTGTATAGATTGTAACTTTTATGACCTTCTACCTTGTCTATTCCATAAGAGTCTTCTCTCTTTCCTTTATGTTGCCAGTATCACAGCAACATCGTACGGCTCCACTATGTGTATCAAGAGTGAAACAAGGAATTTTGGATTTGACAGTCTATGAGAATCTGTGAAATCTCTAAACCCAAAGTCTTTTAGAGTCCCATGAAACCAAACGGAATTCTGTAAAATCGCATAGAAGCTCAGAGCAGTTGTTGTTCCATGGAACTGTGGCTACTACTAAAACTGTAGTCTCACGAACAATCAGACGTTAGATTTATTAGATCTATATTATAATATGGGACTGCAAGGCTCTCTACGGAACTACCGACTGAATTCTGTAAGATTCTACGGCATTCTGCTCGACTGCGCAATTCCAGAATCTTATGAAGTTCCATAAAGCCTCTTGGAATCCGCTCTTTTCCCTTGACGTATGCACTCAGGCTTTTATAGAAAAAGTCAAAACTTTTGCATCTTTCCAAAAGTACCCGTAACTAAAGGTTTATAATACGCTGTACAAAGTTATCGATAGAAAATTGATTTTCTGTAAAGGGAAAAATCAATGGTAATTTTCTAGAAGATCAACCATTTTGCCCTAAGTCAATCCTAATTTTACAGAAAATGAAAATGCAACGCCTTGCTTTATTTTATCACACAAGAGAGCTCCGTTTTAGGTCATTAGCAGAAAGGAATCGTATCTCTAATCTTGAGCGTGTGATGAGTACGATGTCTGTAATTCAAAGTTTGAGTACAATCTTTTTTCTTTTATTCACACATGATTGGATAGAGCTGATTAAGAAAATGTGTGTGTTTCTATTTCTTGGAAATATTTAAAGGTATTGAAATAGCGAAATTTGTTCAAAAAACGCTAATTTTCAAAAAAACAGCATATTTTCTATTTTGTCGTCCTTCCAAAGTTCAAAAATCAAAAAAGATAGAAAGAAAACACGTAAACAAAAAGTTGAAAATGAAAATGCCAATATTCAAAAAGGAAAGAGTTGAGCCTTAGGTGTGTCACTTTCTGAGCTCATCTACTTTTTTCAGATAAGATACGAAGTCATTCTCTTTACGGTTTGCCCCGTTACACACTCACGGAAGAAGTGTGTATTCTAGTGTCCTATTATTCTAGAATAGTAGGATACTTGAATAGCAGAATACTTTTGTAATTACTAGAAGCTCAGAAAAGAAGTTCGTCTCGACTTCTTTAAGTGTTTCCTCGCTGAAAAATATTGTTCGTTTTCGAACCAAGCTATAAACGACCAAGTCCTTTTTCGATAAAACTTTGACTTGTCTCTGGAATTAAGTCTTAAAATCCAGATATTGGTATACTTTGAACTACGCCTGCTAACATTCACAAGCAGGAAAATAAAAAATTATATAACTTATATATCTAGATTTTCCAGATGATGCGAATAATTAGGATTGCAAAGCACCCGTGAGTGGCTGCTAAAAATTTAAAGGAAGGTTCTAAACGTGTGTGTTTATGTTTTTATTTCATTGCAAACTTGTTCAAACTGTGTTCAAAAGTTCCCTTTTAAGTGTAAACAATGACTCTCCTTAATGGAAATGATGGTCATCAACTGATTCAATGATGACTTTGCACTTGGACATCCAATCTGGAGTCCAAATGGAGTCTAAACAGCTAAAAAAGTGTCAGAAGCTGATGATGTACATGAAGACCCTGTCAGAATACGATTATATCGGTTACTATGTGTGCAACAGTACCATAAAAAGATTACATTTTTATGGTTGGACTGCTCATTAGACAAGATTTAAGAAACAATGCTGCTGGAGTCCCATGCGACTTCTTACGCACTGACTCTAGTGGGAGTTTCAATAATAAATCTTTTGCTTTTGGCGCTTCTGCGGGAGTTTTTGTGGACTCCGGTAGGGCTCCTTGTGGAGTGAGTCGCCGGAAGTTCCGGCAAAAAATAACACTTTTTGTGTATGGGACTCCCATGGGACTTTTTGTGGAGTCGTGTAGGACTCCCTATGGAAAAAAATTTCCTTGGAGAGTCCAGCGGGATTCTATCGGGACTCCCACGGGAGTTTTACACAAAACAGGATTTCTGCTCTCTAAAAAAAAAAGGTGTATTACGAAACTCAAAAGGGTATATGTTATGTCAGGAATCTCCTGACATAAGAATATTCTCTTTCTTCTTATCTTTCACTTCTCTCTTCTGTTTATCATTGCATCACGTTATCATCATTCCTTCTTTTTCTATTATTCTTCTATATAAGGAGTATGTATTATTTCAAGGACAACATATATATTTTTTGTTTTATAAAAAAGGGAAGAATAAAAAACAATAACGTTAGAGAGAAAGCTCTAACAATTGGTGCACTAGCCGGTTTCTTGTCAACTCAAAACCACAAGAACAGGGATCGGGTGGCTTTATCGAACACACCGCCGCGAACAACATCATAGTTTCAAATTACCATAACCATTTATAGAATATTTCCTTATGCCACCACAACACAAAAACATACAACAACAGCAATCAGATGAATCATTTCAAATTAATGGCCAAGAATATTATCTTGACAATTCTATTATTGTATATCATGGGTGTACACATAAACCTTATATAGCCAAAATCAGACAAATACAACAACGACATGAAATATGTAAGGTGATTAATGATTATGAATCAAATGATGAACAAATGTCTGTTAAATTTGAAGAAATTCATCCATTAACAAGAGATAATTTAACATATATGATGATTAATTCACAAAAATTAGCACAAACAACAGCTAGTTGTCAGGAAGAAGATGCAGAAGCATTTGCTGGATACATTTGGAAATGGTATTTGTCCAAGCTCGTGGAACAAGATACAACAGTAATATATCAACCACAAAACGTAACCTTTATTCAAGCTAATCAGCAACACCAATTAACACATATTCCAAATACATATTTAACACAACCATCAAATGTACGACGACAACATGTATTTCATATACAACATCAAGAAGATTTTGAATTACGATACGTTAGAAAAATACCCAAGGGGGAAATAGCGGACTCCTGGAGTCCATAGGAGTCCAGGAGTCCGCTATTTCCCCCTTGAAAATACCTCGCTTAGTTGAACATACATCAACAGAAATGTTAATAACATCCTTAGAATTTGTTTATCCATCACAATTAGACGGGTTGGTTTGGCCACAAGCTACTGAAGCATGGACAGATTATGAAATTAAACCGCAACGTTTCACAAATAATAATCACATAACATTCTTAAAAGGTAGTGGCAACTCGATATCAAAACATAATGATCACACAACAACAATATTCATTAAAGCGATTATTAATCCTAATACAAACAAAAATTTAAATGATGACGAAATCATAACTGAAAAGTCAAAAACAATTAAACAAACTTTAAATAATGATGAACAACAGCCAACATCAATTCAAAATATGATGATCACACAACAAATTCAATTACAGCAAGAAAAACATCAACTGGAATTAGTAAACCATCAGCTGACAATAACAATAAATAAATATTGGTCAACACTAATATCTTCATTATAAGGTGAAGGTACATTACGTACATGGACACAAGCTTTAGTGTCAGTTTCGAAATATGTTTATTGGTTATTATCATCGTTATTATTAATTATATTAGCATTGGGCTTATTAGGAAGAATAAATCATACGTTAGGTGGTGATACTGACTTTGATGATTTATCACTCTTGTTTGTTGGTGGTTTATTTGTATATAAATTTCAAAGATGGAAAATATCTATTAAATCGTTAAAAATTGATAACTTACGATATCCAATAGTTGATTATGATATTCGTTTATTATCGTATGATGTGCATTAACAATAATAAAAATCATCGACATGGACAACGGCATTACGCATCTGGTTAGCTTTAACATTAGGTCATATTGTGTATACATGGCTATAAAAAAAATCTTAGCTAAAAAAATTTAGCATTGCCGCAAACTTGGTGGACTTAAGTATAACAAAAACATTGTCATCCTTATTAATAATTGTATTAATCTGATAAAATTTCGTGGCAGGAAACAAAATGATCATGATTATAATAAAAACTTACGTGAATTAATTCTCTTTATAGATATTTCATACTCGTGCTGAATTTAAACTAACAGTGTTTAGAAAGTGTTTCATGTAGTGACAGCTTATGTGGTAAATCTTCTCCTTTTGTGGCACACCTTTTTGTACTTTTGTTGATTTTTTTTGTCTTTGTTCATAACACGCCTGTTTTGATTTTACTATGTGTTATTGTTTTTTTTCTATTCAAGCTAATTCAGTTTATCATATTTTTCTTTTCTTTCTAATCTGTCCAGTTATTATATTTTATTCTGTTCTATTCTATTTTTATTTTTTGTGTATGTATCATGTTTTGGCAAAACTAACAAAATGTATTATTACGTTAGCATACTTTTCGTAGCCGTTTACTAAATTTATGTATTCTTCAACTGATGTTATAGTAATTATTCAATATAATGAAACGAAAACTATTCGTGTGGTGACGCTCAGTGAATACATTATCAACGATTGGTGAATTTTTTTTTTTTGTGGCATTCTTTTTCTATTTTGTATTGGTTTTCGGTATTTGTTTGTTTACTTTTTCGCATACTTGTAGATGAACGTCGTCGTTCATCCTCTTTGTTGGGGTGAGGTGTTATGTCAGGAATCTCCTGACATAAGAATATTCTCTTTCTTCTTATCTTTCACTTCTCTCTTCTGTTTATCATTGCATCACGTTATCATCATTCCTTCTTTTTCTATTATTCTTCTATATAAGGAGTATGTATTATTTCAAGGACAACATATATATTTTTTGTTTTATAAAAAAGGGAAGAATAAAAAACAATAACGTTAGAGAGAAAGCTCTAACAGTATAGAGNGTATGTATTATTTCAAGGACAACATATATATTTTTTGTTTTATAAAAAAGGGAAGAATAAAAAACAATAACGTTAGAGAGAAAGCTCTAACAGTATAGAGAAGTGCAACCATTTCTAAACCGTTTTAAGTTTCGTATGAAACCCTTTTTGGTTTCGTACTTCGACTACGAAACCTTTTATGGTTTTTGGCGAACACAAGGGTTTCGTAGTCGAAGTACGAAACCAAAAAGGGTTTCATACGAAACTTAAAACGGTTTAGAAATGGTTGCACTTCTCTATACCCTTTTAAGTTTCGTAATACACCTTTTTTTTTAGAGAGTGCCGGGTGTCTCGACTAGGGTAGGACATATACTCTGAAGTGCGCTCTACAAACTGAAAAGGTATGAAGAAAACCTAAATGGAAAGTCCTCCTCCCTTCAATCTAAGTTGAAAAATTTCTTTTTATGAGAGAGAAAGAGAGCAATAAGAGAATAAAATAATGTTTTCCCAAACTTTTCCTCTTCTAAATAATAATCCTTGTCTAACTATCTCCTATCTTTTTTGCGAGAAGGCAAAATGATAAGAACCAAGTCACTGTGCATTTAGGGCACTATTTGATCTGACTTGAAGTCAGGGGGGAAATAGCGGACTCCTGTGGACTCCCAGCGATTCATGGACTCCTGAAGTCGAAGAACAAAAGTGTTGTTTTTTGGAATCACTCACCAAAAAGGAACATTTTTGGTCTGTTCTGGAAGTCGATCCTATAACCAGACCGCTTTTGTTCTGTTTTTGGGACGAACTTATACCAGTTCACAGCTCAATGAACCGGTCGACCAGCTCAGTTCATTTGAACTGAAATGAATGATTTTCCGGTTCGTTCAGCCTCTGATCACCAAACCGAGAACGTCATTTTGTAGAGTTCGTCGAGTTCTATTTGGAACATAGCAAAGCAATAGTGGAGCACGTTTCTGGCCGAATCTGCCCTGAAAAAAGGTCGTATCGGGACCTAACATAACCTATGTGTCATAATGTGA